TGCACTCCAGCTTGGGGGACAGAGTGAGACTCCGTCTCAAAAAAAAAAAAAAAAAAAAAAGAAACAGATTCTCTGTTCTTGAGGAGCCACTAAAACAGAGGTTCTCAAAATGTGTCTGAACCAACAGCATTGGCATCACCTGGGATCTTGTTAGACATGCAAATCCTTTGACCTTATCCCAGACCTCCTGAATCAGAAGCTCTATGCCTCCTGGATCAGAGACCAGCAACCTGATTTAACAAGACTTCCAGGTGATTCTGATGCGTGCTCAAGTTTCAGAACCACTTTGCTAAGGGATTAAGGTCAGGAGAATCAAATTGAATACAGAATACAATATCTGGGGGACAAGGCAATGGTGATGTTGAGTTTCTTTCCTAGCTGGTCTTTCCTTGTTGTTTGTTTGAATATATATTTTGAATGGCTACAGATCAGTTGGAGAATTCTCAAAATTGTAATTTGCTAGTGAGGCTCAAGATTTAAATGAGACAGAATGAGGTCAAAAACTCTGGTGACTACTTAAACAGATGAGAAGGGACTGATTTTATGTTGAAATCCTTGTTTGAAAAAGATTTGTCATTATTTACGTACCTTATATAGTTGTTGTAGATATTGAAAATGGAATAATTTATATAAAGTTGTTTTTAAGCCATAAAACATGATGCTAACATTAGTGTAACATTATGGAGTTTTGACAAGAGAGTGGGTGAGGCAAGAGAGAATGAAAGGGCCTGATATAGATTATGAAAAAAGGGACTTGAGGTCCCTATTCATTCATTCAACTATTTTTTCTTTTTCGCTTTTTTTTTTTTTTTTTTTGAGATAGAGTCTTGCTTTGTCACTCAGAATGGAGTGCAGTGGCACAATCTCTGCTCACTGCAATCTGCACCTCCTGGGTTCAAGTGATTCTCCCACCTCAGCCTCCTGAGTAGCTGGGACTATAGACATGCACCACCATGCCTGGCTAATTTTTTTTTTTTTTAAGTAGAGACAGGGGTTTCACCATGTTGGCCAGGCTGGTCTCAAACTCCTGACCTCAGGTGATCTGCCGACCTCGGCCTCCCAAGGTGCTGGGATTACAGGTGTCAGCCACTGTGCCCAGCCCATTTGACTACTATTTAGTAGGCATAGACTATATACCAAGGACTGTGTGAAGTGCTGGGAATAAAATGTTGAACAAAAACAGACATGGCCCTTGCTTTCATAAAGCTTAAATCTAATAAAGGAGGCAGATATTTATCAAATAATGACATCAATGAATAGCTAAGTACTAAACCTAAGAAAAATATTCTGAAGCAAAAGAATATAGTTCCATGACAGCACAGAACAAAGGAACCTATTCTAGATTGGTGGAAACAGGGGAGTGAAAAGGAAAAGAGGGAGGCTCAGGAGGACTTCCCTAAGAAAGTCCTGCTCTAACTGAAATCCGAAAGATGAGTAGAGGTAAGTTAGGTCAGGCTGGAGGATGAGGGGTTGGAGAGGAAAATTTATAGACTAAGGAAAGAGTGTATAAAGGCCCTGTGCAGAAATGCAGCATGGGGCCGGGTGTGCTGGCTCAAGCCTGTGGATCACTTGAGGTCAAGAGTTTGCGACCAGCCTGGTCAACGTAGTGAAACCCTGTCTTGACTAAAAATACAAAAATTAGCTGGGTGTAGTGATGGGTGCCTGTAATCCCAGCTACTTGGGAGGCTGAGGCAGGAGAATCGCTTGAACCCAGGAGGCGGAGATTGCTGTGAGCTGAGATCACGCCACTGCACTCCCACCTGGGCCACAGAGCAAGATTCCATCTCAAAGAAAGAAAAGAAAAGAAAAAAAGAAAAGAAAAGAGAAGAAAAAGAAATGCAACAGGGTGCATTTGAATTAAAATCAGGCCAATGTGGCTGTACTGAAGAGCATACAGGTGACAATGGGGCAAGAAGCAGCTTGGGAGGTAGAGCAGAGACAAGACTATGTAGGGCCTTGCAAATCTTGTGTGTATCAATTAGAAACTGACTGCAACTCCTAGTGCCAGAAATCCAACTAGTGAATGTATTATGTAAAGATTTTGTTCTCTTGCACAGAAGAAGCCCAGAAGTAGAAAGTCAAGTCTTGTAGCATGGTTCTCCCAAGTCACTGGAACCCACGCCTCTTTCATCTTTCTGCCTTACCATTTCTGGTTCTAGCCTCCACCTTCAAGGTCTCAAGGTGGAGACTGGAGTGCCAGTGATCACAACCATATTTATCCCGGCCCGCGGGATAGTCGAAGCAGGCCCTGGAGGAGGGGGTGGGAATTTGGGGAACAAGAGATACGAGAAATGGAGACAAGACAGTGCTCTGATCAAGTCTCTTTTAATGGCGGTAATGCAGTGCCTTATATACACTTGGAGGGAAAGGGGTTGGGCCAGAGGTGGAGATGATCTCATCGCAGAGGGCGTGACCAAGTAGGTATTGGTTTCTCTGGTCGAACGTCATGTTGCACCTGCGCTGTCAGGTAGTAATTTTCGCGGGCGCGGGAAAAATAGGTGAAGAAGAAGCAGGAAGAGCGCCATCTTTTATGAAGTATTAATACAGGGAGAAAAGGCAAAGATAGGGAGAAGGCGTGGGGTGGAAATGAATAGAGCTCAGGCGTTCCCAATCATCAGCTATCATTCGCTATGGCCGGGGCGCGCAGCTCCGGACACATATTTCAAACATGAAGAACCCAAAGGGCAAGGGTAAAAGGATTTTCCTGGGTACTCCATTTAACAACTTCTGCTTATATCGCATAGGTTATTCCTCTCTGTAAAGGAGGTTAGGAATTATCTTTTTTTAAATTTGTGTCTGAGATATATTGCTGTCCCAATAACGAAAGATTTTTGTGAGATAGAAGGAGAAAACAGATACTGTGGAAAGGCTGTCTTTGCAACACAGTGTTAAAGATTTTGATCATTTTCCTGTGATCCATAGGAAGTTATTGGCAAGTCGTAAGGAAGGACATGGTGGGACTGGCTGCAATGTGGAGAAAGGAATTGGGGCTGGGAAAGCAGAGTGAATGGAGAGAAAACCCAGGGAATAAAGAGATGATGGCAGCATAGATTGATGCTACGGTGATTATCCTATGGTGATGACTATGGAAATATTGGAGTCAAGATTGTTTTGAGAGACATTTAGGAAATGAAAGAGTTAGGCCCTAGTGATGAATTAAGTATGGTAAGTGAGGGAGAAGAGGGCATCAAGAATGATATATGCTGGCTGGATAATGGTATCATTAATTGAGACAGAGAACAAAGGAAGAGGAGCAGGTTTGCTGAGGAAGATCATGAACTTGGTCTTAGGCAAACTGAAGAGGAATGCCTTCCAAATGGAGATGTGGTAAATAAATAATTGGACATCTGGGTGTGGAACACAGAGATCTGGTCTGGGCTGGAGATGTAAGCTGGTATCACATAACTGAAATCATGATTGATAATGATAGTCAGGAGAGAGTGCAGTATACAAAGTGAGAAGAGGGTCTAGGACTGAGACTTGGGGAACTTCAGTATTTAATGGAAGGCAGAGGAGAAAGAGGCAGAAATGGAGACAAAACAGGAGCAGTCAGAGACTTGGAAGGAAAACCAAGATGTAGTGTCAGAGGCAATAAAGTCCAAGCAAGAGGGATTGTGCCCAGCATCAGCAAGAGGGTCAATGAGAGAAAGACTGAAAAAGTTTTTTGGATTTAGCAATGTGGAGACCACTAGAGATCTTCATGAGGGCGACTTGGAATATTTGGGCTAGAAACCAGTTTGTAATGTGCTCAAGAGTGACGCAGGTTTGAAAAAAATGGCAGCAGTAAGTATGTAATTTGTTAAAAGACCGGCTTTGAAGGAAAAGAGACAAATAGAGTAGAGATAGGAGGGATATTATTTCGTAATATGGAAAGGCCTAGAGTGACCTAGGGCTTGATTACTTATGCGAAGGACCTAGCTGAGAGGAGAGAAGGGGTAACTGATACATGGAAAGTTTCTGGAAAGGTGGGAGGATATGGGAACCAAAGCACAGGCCATGGGGTAACCGTAATGAGGTCTAAGAGAAGGTATAGTGAGAAGTGCAGGATAGATAAGGATTTGAATCCAGAAAGTAGGATATTGCAGTTCAGGGTAACAATTTTTCATCTTACACTTTCCAAAATACTAATGTATTATCTTGGGGAAAATGAAATCATACAAGTGTTATAATTTTTAGGAAATGTGCAGATCACGTTAAGGTTGTCACAAATGTTAAGCACTTCCCTTTCATTTTCTCTCTCTTGGGTATCTAATTCAATGAGACCTCAATAAAATAATGTAGTAGGAGTTAGGATTTACTAAGCCTTCACGAGAGCATGTAATCCTTCCAACAGCCCTGTGAGGTAGATGCTATTATAGTCTCAACAGTAGAGATGAGGAAATTGAGGTTTAGAGGGGTTAAGTAGCTGGTTTGAGGTCACTTGCTATTCTGTGGTAACAGGATTCACAGGATTCAGAGCTTTATCTGAGGCATAAGTTCTGGTGATCTATTGCACAGTGTAGTCACTAGAACAATAATGGATTGTATATTTCAAAATTGCTAAAAGACTAGATTTTAAATGTTCTCATTGCAAAGAAATGAGTATATAAGGTAATGGATATGGTTAATTAGCCTGATTTGATCATTCCACAATATATGCATGTATTGAAACATCACATTGTACCCTGTAAATATATACAATTATTATTTGTCCATTAAAAGTAAAATTAAAACATTTTTAGAAAGCTTTATCTGCCTGCTGCAGGATTCTTTGCTGCCATGCTGGGCTACATGCCTCATCAGAAAAGACGCTGATAGGCAAATCCACTCAGACATAAACCAGTCTGCAAGGGAGGCAGGACTTCCCTGGGGTAAGATTAGAACCTGTATTTGTGACTTGGAGGTTATCACAGCAACATCCCTTGGTGAAAGGTTATCTCTTCTTAAAGTATCACAGAGTAAATGAAACTTATTATAAAATAGGGGAGAAAAGCAAGAGAAATGAAACAAGAAATACCATATCAAAATGGAACAAGTTTAAGGTTAATCTACACAGAGAGACAATTTTCCATAGAACCTTAAAGTACTCAGGCAAATATGTAGCAGGTGGGATTTCCAAGTTGCTGCTCTGGGATTTCCAGCTTTTACTTTGCAGCCTGAGGGCAAGTTTCTTTGGTGACTGTGTACTTCAACTTCACCATGGAGTACTTCACTTTGTTCTGCGCTATTATATTTTTCAAAGAGTTGCTTATTTCAGAGAAATGCCATATACAACCAAGAGACGTCCGGAACTACTTTACCTCAGATCTGGGCAGTTTCCTTGAGACAAAATGGCTGCCCACGGGGTTTTCACAGGGGCGGGTCTTTGGTCATTTTTAAGTGACGTCAGTGAAATTTGACCCGTGGCTAGAGGTTACCAGGATGTGCGCTTGAGTTTACTTCCCCTTCTTTAAGCTCCAGCGACTCCACCTAGCAAAACAAGCGATGGAATGATTGACATCTGTTTGCAGAGGGCCCTCCCGGGAACTTCAGGAGCATTCTATTTCTAGGAAGAAAGCAAGACCCTAGGGTCGGGATTTTCCATTACTGCTTCTGGAAATCTAAGAAATGCTTTTTAGTCTCTCTTCTTCTCTTCTTCTCTTCTTCTATTCCACTGAAAAGAAAAACTTTCCCCCAAACCTATAAACCCTGAAAGTAAAGAGATAACACAAACACACATTTTTGTTGACGTTCCTTCTTTCACTTCAGCTTCTTTGTTGGAAGCAATTCGTGGCCTTTGAAGATTGAATCAGGAAAGTTAAAGGACTGTAATTATTCAAAGTGTACTTTTCTTCCGGGGATGCTTGGGGGTTGACTCTGGGGTTCTACAACCTGGAAATTTAAGGCAATAAAGAGCAAATGACAGTGACTGCCTAACGAAAAGTTTGCTTTCTCAATGCTCTGACAGGGGCTATAGAATAAAAAAAAATCCTTGCATGTCATTTATTCATAATCTTATGAAGTAGATTTCTTTGTCCTATTTACGTTTCTTTAGATTATTGGGGAACAGCTTGAATCCAGGGAGGGTGATATTTCTGGCTTCTTGCCTTATAATGAACTTTTTAGCAACTCCCAGTTTGTTGATTTCGCTAACCTTTCCCAAGGCCTTACAATCTCTTTCTAAGATATTGAACTTTAACTGACAACAAGTATATTTGAAGATAGGGCTGGTAGAAGAAAATTATAACTATATATAAACAGTAATTATAACTGTATAAACTATACAGTTTATAGAAAATTATAACTATATAAGCAGTAATTATAACTACATATGCATATTAACAATGGCCTACATATATTTTCCAGCCACTGGGCTAAGCTCCTTATAGGAATTGTCTTATATAAAAAATTTACAATAATCCTATAAGGTTGGCACTATTATCATCTCCTTATTTTCTGCTGAGGAAATTCAGATTTAGAATGATTGAACAGCCACTGCAAAATTGTAACTGAGATAGTGTAAGAGGTTTGACCTAACCAACTCCATCTTGCTTCTAACCTCACAGCTGTCCTTGTTCATCCTGGGCATAAGCCGAACTAACTTTGGGAGAAACTTAGTTTATAGTTTAAAACAAAGATGATAACAGCTCTTTCCCAAAACAAACCTCCTTCTTGCCTGGGGACTAGACTGCCATTGTAGGACTAAGAAATTAGCCACAAGATTAAAAATTATGATTCAGAAGTCATGCAGCTGGAGTAGAAAATTCTGACCCTCCCTAAACTGCTCCTATGATTAGTGCTTGAGATATTTTGCAGACCCTACACTTAATGGATCAGCTGGCACCACCCAATCGATAAACTGGATCATATGATCTTATGGCCCCCACCCAGGAACTGCCTCAGCACAAGAAGACAGCTTTGACTCCCTATGATTTCATCTCTGACCAATCAGCACTCCTGGCTCACAGGCTTCCCCCCCACCCACCAAATTGTCCTTAAAAACTCTGATCCCAGAATGCCCAGGGAGACTGATTTGAGTAATAATAAAACTCCTCTCTCCCGCACAGCCAGCTCTGCGTGAACTACTCTTTCTGTACTGCAATTCCCCTGTCTTGATAAATTGGCTTTGTCTAGGCAGCAGCAAGGTGAAACCATTGGGCGGTTACATGTAAACCAAAAAAATTGTCTCAATAATAGGAATTCCAATCCAGACCCTATTCTTGACAGTTATGCTATCTTGCCCCTAGGAAATGTCACTCATTAGGCATGAATTGCCAAGCAGAGAAGGAAGATGGCAAAGTTTACAGGAAGAAAAAGTGTCAAGGCTCCTTTCACCAAACAGGGAGATCCTGGAACTCAAAGCTGGAGAGAACTTTGTATCACATCTTTCACATCCCACTCCAGGCTTTCAAACATAAAATGGGAATTAGCCAATTTAAGGCTTCTAGAATCCACAAGACTCTATCGCTTCAGTTGTCCCCTTCATTCATGAAATCATGCCCAAGCACTCAGCTCTCAGGGATATCCACTCTTGTGATTTTCCTCAGCACTCCCAAGGAATAAAGCTCATAAAGAAATACCTTATAGTGTTACATAGCACATTTTAGGTTTTTGTTTTGTTTTGTTTTGTTTTAAGATGGAGTCTTGCTCTGTCACCCAGGCTGCAGTGCAGTGGCGCAATCTTGGCTCACTCCAACCTCCGCCTCCCGGGTTCAAGCAATTCTCCTGCCTCAGCCTCCTGAGTATGTGGAATTACAGGCTTGCACCCCACACCTGACAATTTTTTTTTTTGGTATTTTTATTAGAGACAGGGTTTCACCCTGTTGACCAGGCTGGTCTCAAACTCATGATCTCAAGTGATCCACCTGCTGTGGCCTCCCAAAGTGCTGGGATTACAGGCATGAGCCACCGCACCTGGCCATAACATGTTTGTATAGTTACTGCATTTCATCTCCACTAAACTTTGTGAAGTAGGCTAGGGAATACATTAACTTTTATTTTTATTATTTCTTTTCTGTAGACATGGAAATTAATCCCCAGAGAGGTAAGTTAACTTGTCAAAGGCACTGGACAAGTTTGGGGTAGTGCTGGGACCAGTACTCAGGACCTTCAGCCATAAGACCTGATTTGTTCTATGACACCATGTCCCTCCCGTCAGAATCAAGAGATGTTTGTCCAGAGCCTGGGAGGTATAGGCCTTTGAGCAAAGCTCTCTGGATAGGAACACAGATGTGGTCTCCACCCTGGGAAGGATTACTGTTTTCTTTGGGAGATGGCCCTTATTCTAATCCAACTACTAACCACACAAATAGTTCATTGGTTTTTTGGAACTATCTTGCAAGCACAGTCAAGTTTATACTTCTTTTCTGTGCCCCGGGGGATTTTATACATTGCCCCACACCCAGCAGGTGCTTTGGGAGTTGGTTCAATGAAGCTTACATTAGAGACTAACAGTGGCAGCTTGGTAGAAAGAGTGGAGACGTTGGAACCTGGTCAATCTGCGTTCACGTCCTGCCTCTGCACTTTCTGGTTGTGTGACCTAGGCAGGCACCGATCTCTCAGTGCCTCAGGTACCTCAACTATAAAAGGAAGATCTTAGTACCTACCACACAGAGTGATGCAAGAACTCTGACATAATGCAGGTATGGTCTTGAGTATACTACCTGGCACAGAGTAAGGAGGCAGGAAATGTTCTCTGTTAAGTTACTATTATTAGGATGTATACCTTATCATCTTCCTAATAGTTTCAGTTTGTCATTGTTGAGCCTGCAAAGCTTCCTGTATGTATTTCAGCACATGCTTCTGTTGAATCTAATTGCAGGTGGTTCTCTTTTCTTTTCATTCAGGCGAGGAGGATAATCACATTCAAAGCTATAGTTCAACCAAGTGCAACTTAGCACTGTAACTTCCTTAGCTACAGTGGTGCCTATTAATAGGATCAACCTGGGACCTTCTTGGCAGGTGTCAACTCCACCCACAACCAAGTTCACCAAAAACACAAGTTAAATTTGGAACGGGAGGCTTTGAACAAGATGCCTCTGGTTGCTATGTGTGGTACCCTTACCCTAAATGCAGTGGCTGGGGAAGCTGCATTTTAGTGTTATGGATACTTCCAACAGGACCAGCAAATGCTAGAAACTGCTAGAATCCTATTCAAAGGATTCCTGGAGCTCCTTTAATAGAGCACATTAGTGTGGACCAAAGTCATTTCCCAAAGAGTGGGACCCCCCACCCCCTGTGCCAAAGTTGGACCCAAGGGCTCATAGAGTCCGTCTGCTATCTCATGAGATGCCTCTGAGCCCAGATGATTTCAGCTCAGTAATGTCTGATCTGCCTGCTTGTTTTCCCTTTTGCTTTCCCTAAAGCAGCCTCAGAAAAAAGGAAATTTTGCCCGTGTTGAAATGGGGCCTTTGTTGAAAAAAAAAAAAAAAAACACAGCTTCACTGCAGGTCAGCATACTCAACCCTACACTCTCCTCATAATGGAATATAAAGCAACGAAACTCTTTCAGGCTCATGACTTGGAACTCTACCAGTTTGTCTCCAATTTACTCATTCCTTTGATTCAGGTAGGAGAGAGCAATGATGGCCTTGACTTTCAGAGTCACCTCCCACCTGGGACTTCCCAGGCCCTGAAGCACACTCCTTTCCATTGCTTCAACTCTTAGTTCCTCTCCCCTGCCCTATTGCATAGAAATTAGCATGAGCAGAAGTGTCTATCTCTACTGTGGACTATGTACTTAGCATAAAATACCTTCAAAATAACTTGACAGCAGCTCAGCTGTCTCGAAATATACCTAGTTGAGCCTTTTAATTATAAGATGTTTGTTGTTCCCCCTGGCATTTGAACAATTGCTTTTCTAATTTCTGAACCTACCTTAGCTATATTTGAACTCTTAGGATATGCTAGGCTCTGCACTATCTGACTTAAACCTGACAAAGACCCCATGAAGTAGGTACCACTGTTATATCCATTTTACTGTTCAGAAAAAAACAAGAGAAATTAACCCATAATGCTAACTTTTCTGCCTCAGTGCCTCCCAGGTATAAAAGGCTATGGGCTTTGTTCTCTCTCTTTCTCTCTCTTTTTGTTGTTGTTGTTGTTGAGACGGCGTTTCACTCTGTCGCCCAGGCTGGAGTGCAATGGCATGATCTCGGCTCACTGCGACCTCTGCCTCCCAGGTTCAAGCAATTCTCTTGCCTCACCCTCCCGAGTAGCTGGGATTACAGGTATGCACCACCACGCCTGGCTAATTTTGTGTTTTTAGTACAGATGGGGTTTCACCATGTTGATCAGGCTGGTTTTGAACTCCTGACCTCAGATGATCCGCCTGCCTCAGCCTCCCAAAATGCTGGGATTACAGGCGTGAGCCACCATGCCTGGCCGGGCTTTGTTCTCTTTACAGATGAAAGTACCTTGAGGGTGGGGACCAAGCCTTAAAACTCTGTGCCAAGTTTCCAGTTGTATTACAACTGTATTCAGTTTCACAAATGCTAGAATCAGTCCACTTCTCAACAATAATTTATACAAAGTGCATATCTATTTAGAACTTTCTAGGTTTGAAACTTAGTATCAATCCCTGTGGAGTACACAAAGGAAGTACATCATCTATTCGGGGGGTATTAGTCCCTATGAAACAGGAAAACCAATTAAATGTTTAAACTAAAAATAAATGTTTCAGCCTTCAGAGAAAGGGGAGACCAGAACCCTGGGGAGGTGGTGGGATTTCAGGTGGCCCTTGAAGAACCAGGCCAATGTCAAGAAGCGGAGGATGGGGAGAATGAGGAGTAAGGTGGGGGAAGGAAAACGAGGAGTTGGCCTGTAACAATAGAATATGCACATTATAATTTCTTTCAACATCAAGGATGAGAATTCTAGGAGCCTTATAGAGACTTCTCCTGATTAGAAAAACAAATACTTCTTAGCTCACCAAACAGATTTTCCTCCAGGGCCTGGTATAGGAGGCAAAGAACCCCTATAGGGCAAGTTCCAGATACACAAGGAACTGGTCTTCGCCTCCTTCTGGCTCTGGTGTTCTCCTTGACCACCCTTTTCTATTTCCAGTTATTTTTCTCTGAATTTAGTTTTTGCAGATGGAACATACAGAAGCTTTATGAGCAGAATTAAACAACCAGGGTTGGCAGCCTTGCTCTCAACCCTCTAGCTGTGTGTGGGCTTTGAGAAGAATGATGGCAAACCTTGGTTCAGCATGTCTTGTGTGCTAGGTGATGTGTTAGATGATGTGCCAGGCATTGTGTGTGTGTTAACTCATTGCATCTTCACAAGTAAGGTGAGTCATGACCTATTACCACTGCCCTTTTGTGACAAAACAGAGGCTTAGTAGAGACAGGGTTTCACCCTGTTTGCCAGGCTGGTCTCGATCTCTTGACCTTGTGATCCACCTGTGTCAGCCTCCCAAAGTGCTGGGATTACAGACGTGAGCTACCACGCCCAGCCTGTGATTTTTTTTTTTTAAATGACACACAATTATTTTTTAGCTTCTCTCTTTCTCTTTCTCTTTTTCTATTTGTCTTTTGTGTTGTTTATCAGATCTCATAGAAGGTGAAACCAGGATAGTACTCCACTCAGAGGTGAGTGTATAGGTAATAAATATGTGGAACAAGACTCTATTGTCCTCAGGTAAAGGTGGGTGACCCTGGGTGCCCTTAGATAAACCATTAAATACTGTTCTACCAAATACTCACATACTGGGCAGGTGTTTGAGCAGGTGTGGCAGCCTTGGGGCAGACGCTGAATGTGGTACACAAGAGGTTAGTGGATATAGTTACACCTTCATAAAATGAATGCTGGACTATCTCCCCTGCTGCGTCTTAGCTACAGGGGCGAAAGAAAGATTTTAATTAGTTTCAGCTTCCAAAAGAGTCTCAGGCCAGACTTCCGAATCTGCCTCCTATAGGGAAAACACTTTCAAATTCTACCACTTGGCAACAAATCCCTCCCAAACAAAACCCCAAAACAAAAAATTACATTTCTAACTAAATAAGTAACAGTGCTTCTTAGATAGACAGCTTCATTTTGCATTCAGCAGCCTGGATTGACACAATCTCGGGCAAAAGTGGAAGAGGCAAGAGGTGAAGCTGAGCTGTTTGTAAGTACAGCTCAGAATGATGGCAGAGAGATTGGAAGGGGTGGGGAAAAATCAAAGCTGATTCCTATTTTTTTTCCCCCCTGGGCAACTTGTTAGATTATTTAGGTCAATGATGCTTTTAGGAATTAACATTTTGCATTGTAATGTCACTTTCACTTTTTCAAAGAGCTTTCATCTCTCCACCCCTGTTGACATAAATGATCACACTGAGTTGTATCTAGGTTAGTTTTAGAAGAGACTGAGTTCAGGGATTTCTGAGATAAAGAGAGAATTTTTATTTTATTTCTTTGCCTCAGGTAGCATTCAATATATAAATATTTCTCTTCATTAAGTCCCAATCAAGTTTAACTAAACTTTCAAGACAGATGGGGACATGTTATTTTAATTATAAAAGGTACCCACACAAACTTCTCTAAAGCAGTGAAGTTTTCTTGGTATTCATTTATTTATTCAACAGATATCTTTGAACTCTGACAATGTCCGAATACTGTACTGAGCTCCATGCACAGTGCTGCAGTGAACAGCCTCTGGAGCTGTGTGTTAAACATGCAGATATGGCTCTGAATCGTGATAGATAGAAGGAGCGGGAATAATGGTGGGTGGAGAAAAGCCCCTTTCTTTGTTTTGGGTGGCCAATCAAAGCTTCTATGAGGAAAGAACATCTATGCCAAGACTTGACAGATACCGGGGACCCCGTTGGGTAAAGAATGAGGCAAAGAGAAGACAGGAGAGCAGGAACGCATTTCTGGAATAGTGAACAGCATTTGCAGAATTCTGGAGGTGTAAAAAGTTTGGCAAGTTTGAGAAACAAGCAGTGGGGCTGGAGCGTAGGGAATCAGGAGGAGAGGGTGAAGATGAGGTGGAAGTGGGGCTACACTGACACGACCTACTGATAGATAATCACTTGACAGAGGATGAAGGAAGTCACGGCTATCTCATTAGGGACCCACTGCTTATATAAGAACTATCAGAAATGAAATGACCATTTTCTCTCTGAACTTATAAACTCAGTCAGCAGAGAATTGATTCGATTTTCATATAGTCATTTTACCACACTGTTGAATAAAATGTGGCAAACATTTCTGTACAAGTTAAGAACTTGTTGGGTGGCTTGCTAGCAAAATTTTTCACCCTCAACTCTAGGGAATAATATCTGGGCCACAGGTTCCAAACTGGTGTTCCACAAGCTGACTTTGGTCCACAAGCATAGCTTCTTTGGCCTGGACAGCATTTTTACAACATCTAAATAAGTTGCAGACTGGGCGCAGTGGCTCGCGCCTGTAATCCCAGCACTTTGGTAGGCCAAGGTGGGCAGATCACTTGAGGCCGGGAGTTCAAGACCAGCCTGGCCAACATGATGAAACGCCCATCTCTACTAAAAACATACAAAAATTAGCTGGGTGTGGTGGCACATGCCTGTCATCCCAGCTACTCAGGAGGCTGAGACAGGAGACTCATTTGAACCCTGGAGGCAGAGGTTGCAGTGAGCTGAGATCATGCCACTGTACTCCAGCCTGGGTGACACAGTGAGATCTGTCTCAATAAATAAATTAGTAAATGAGTTGCAGCAGCAGAAACTGCTATGTGTTCAGCAAACTTATTTCCTTCAACAGTTGATGCACAGCTGCACTACGTTTCCCAGCGTCCCCAGCAAGTAGGAGGGACCATATGACGAGTTCTGTCAATGGATATGAATGGAAGTGCTGGCCACTATTTCCAGGCCTTGACAGTAAAAATCCTCCTCCCAGCCCTCCACGTTCTCTCTCTGTCCCCATCTGCAACTGAATGCAGAGAAGGAAGGTGTCATAGAAGATGCAGAGCCACATGATGAAAGGAGCCGGGCTCCCTGGATGATGGAACAGTCTCCACAGTGACCCTCTTTGGATTGTGATATGAGTGAGTTTGAAACGTCGTTGTGTTCGCCACTGGGATTTGAGTTTGTTTGCTACAACAGTGTCTTTGTTTGGGTTCCTCCCAGGATCAGGTTCTGAGATATGGATTGATGTCCAAGTAGTTTATTGGGAGGTGATCCCAGGAAACATCAGTACACAGGCAAGTGGGAAAGTGAGAAGGAAAAGGGATGGATTCCAATGAATGGCACATTATCTACCAGATTGTACTGTGGCAGCTGGAGCTCAGTCACACAAGGAAACTCTGGGAGGCAATACAGAACATATCTCAGAGCTATCCTAACTGAGAGGTAAGATTAGCATATTTATGTACTTTCCTTTCATTTTTTGCGAGCTGCTTGCAAGGGCATTAGCGTTTTGGCAGTCCCAGATGCTTGCATGCGGGTCAAATGTGTGCACAGTGTCTTCAGGCAGAGTTGAAGGCAATCACAGTAGGCAGCCTCACCTGCAGAGGGGAGTGCTGAGTGGATATGAGTGGAGCACCAATAGCATCTGCTAAGAATGTTTAGCACACACTGTGGCCAAGACTTAAAATTAGGTGACTTAACATAAAATTGGAGTTTCTAACTTCCTCCAAAAAATAAGAAGATAGTCAACATTGAGCCTACATTTCTGTATGGCGATAACTGGCTGGAGCTGACTAGATGGGGTAGGGTCTCTAATCTCCATAGTCCCCATAACCCACCACCAATCCTCTCTGTTACCCAGGCTGGAGTGCAAAGCCACAATCTTGGCTCACTGCAACCTCTGGCTCCTAGGTTCAAGTGATCCTCCCACCTCAGTCTCCTGAGTAGCTGGGATTATAGGCACCATCACACTCAGCTAATATTTGTATTTTTAGCAGAGATGGGGCTTCATCATGTTGGCCAGGCTGGTCTTGAACTCCTGATCTCAAGTGATCTGACCGCCTTGGCCTCCCAAAGTGTTGGGTTTACAGGCGTGAGCCACCACGCCGGGCCTACTGGCCCACCTTATGATTCTTTCTGTAGGCATTTGAATCTGTAACCCCAGGCCTTTTACTAGAACAAATCTTGTGTTTCGTTCATTTCCTCCCTTCTTTCTCAATCCAGTTGCATTTTCTTCCCTCTGTAACCCACTTCAAAAGCTCCTTGGACTGTACTTTCTTGATGAGGACTTCCCTGACCACTTCACCATACTTCTATGGCCATCTATAGCTGTGACGTCCAATATGGTAGCCACTGTCCGCATTTGGCTATTTTAATTTAAATTTCAGTTAATTAAAGTTAACTAAGCTAACAAAGATAATTAAAATTTAAAAATGAGTTCCTCCACCATGCTAGCTACATTCCATGTGCTCCATGGCCATAGGTGGGTAATATATTGGATATGTCACATATTGGACAGCGCAGATATAATACATTTGCATAATGACAGAAAGTTCTGTTGGACAGTGCTGACCTGTGTCATAATCCTTTTAGTTTAACTTGTAGGTGCTTTTTTGTTTTCTGTAAGTATTTACCTCTTAAGGTGAAATCATCTTTAAAAAATGAGAGGCAGTGTGTTCTACTTGTCTTGTATTCCTGCTCACAGTCAAGTACCTAAGCGACTGCTTGTAGTAATATTGCTGATGTATCTCAAGTTGCTGAATGAGATGTGGTTACCAGAGTTCCCTGTAGTCCCATTCAGGGAGACATTGCTCGCTCTTCTGTCCTCTTCAGGCTTATTTGGAAGTCTGAAGACGCTGCCTAGGGGGGAAAGAGACAGGGATTTCAACATTATACTCTTTTAGGATTGGAAGGAAACTCATTAAGGCCACTTATCATTGCCTACTTTAAAAAAAAAGTAACCTATACTTTGGTGATTTAATTTTTTTATGTCTTTATTGTATTTAAAATTCAGTAGGAATTGGGACATGAAGACATCAAGGTAAAACATCCTGATTTGGGAGTTTGACAAACAAGGGTGGCATCCCAATTCTGTCATTTATTAGCTACAAGACTTCACACCATTTACTTGCCTTCTCTAAGGAGAATAATAAAAATATCTACCTAATGGAGTTTTGATGAGGATTAAATGAGATGAATGCCATAGGAATTATTGTTATCAACAAAAAATCAAATCCAAAGGAAAAGCAAGCAAGATAAGAATAGACCTCCAGTTGTGTGCCTGTTGGAAGGGACCAAAGCTGATAATGCATTCAGAAAATTCCTTCCAATAGAAACGTGTGCACAGTTGCAGGGGATCCATTTTACAAACACTAATTTCCTTGGAAAATAGTAATGTATTTTCATTAGCATGAAGACTAAAGACTAGAGTTACGGGGCAGGCCTTGCACTCTCCCCTTGCCCTACTCTGCCAAACAAATGATATCTCAAATTAAATCTTCCTTTTGGTGGAAAAAAAAAAAGGATAATGGAAATAGGATGACCAGGAATAAAAGGACTGGAGAGTTCCAATCACTCAGTTTTGGGTCAGAAGAGAAAATCATTATGCGAATGTCTATCTCTTTTTCTGTCTTCGCTGTCCATATGTTTTATATGTTTGTAAATGATAGAACATTCTGAATGCAACTATTGCTTTCTTTGTCCAAAGAGGTAGACGGTGCCTGGGAAGGTTAATGTTCTCAAGCACCTCTGAGGCATGACTGTGTCCTTTTCTTGGTCATCAAGCTGTGAAAAGTCACAGTGCTGTCCAATAATCTCATGGAGAAACAAGCTAAAGGCACTTCCTTCTGGACAGAACAGATCATGCTAGGCCTACCTACAAATGGCATTTTGGCTGGTGGCCATAATGTCATGATGAAACTTGGTTTGGGCAGAGGCTCAGAAGTGGCATTTGGGAGATTTTCCTTTTTTAACTGTGTACATTTGATTGTTTGGGAAAGATGCTCAAAATCAGTTGCAAAGTGAAATAAAGTAGATTACAAAAGAGGATGTGTGATATGATCACATTCTGTTAAAAGAATGAGAGACTAGTTGGAAAGTGTCTAATAGAGTTCTTTGTAGCTATAGAAATTCACACAAAAAGGAATTTATTGGAAAGATGTGGAAGTTCATAGAAGTATGAGTTAGGTATTGCTGCATAACCTACCACTTCAAACTTAGAGGCTTAGAACATTTGTTTAGCTTGTGATATAAAAGTAGTCTTCTTCATGTATCTGAAGTCAGCTGTGTGTGCATAAGGTGGTTCTACTTCTGAAAGTTGGCCGAGACCCCTGTGCTCTCCTCCAAGTGGTTTGTCATCCTCCAGCAGCTGACACCAGTTTTGTCCTGGTGGCTCCAAGAGAGACTGGAAGCGCACAAGCCCTCTAGAAGTTGAGGCTCCGAGCTGACACACCTTCACTGTTCCTGCATTCTCCTGGCTAAAGCAAATCCCAACGCATCCCAGATTCAAGGGGTGGGGAACTAGACTTCATTCTTGATGGGCCTCTGTCTCTTGCACAGGGCATGATATGGAGGCCGCTAGTTGAGGCCATGAATACAATCAATTTACCATATTAGAATTGAAGGAAATGGTGAAGAATTAGTTCTCAGGAGGCCTAGGACCCAGAGCTGCTCCAGGTGTCTGGGAGATGTGTGACAATGAGTGACCTCATTAGTGTTCCCCTCTCAGGAGGAAGAAACTCCAGCATTTTCAGTCTTCAAGGGTCACTTAGCTACAGACCGAAATCACAGCTTGGTCACCTGCCTACTGCTTTGCCAGCAGACGACCTGACAGCTAGGTTGGTAGTCCCACTAGAAATGATATTCCACTGATTGAGTGGCTATCCCCAGAGCAAAATGTGGGTGTGGCTCCCTGAAGAAGGCAGAATGAATGCTGGGTCTTTCATACCAAAGTACTTTCTCTATACACTAAAATGTTAACAATAGTAATATCTGTATGTTGGATTCATGGAAGAGGTTTTGTTTGTTTGTTTGTATGTAATGAATTTCTCTAATGAATGTGTATTATTTATGTACGTTTTTAAAAAGTTATAGGAAAAACAGTTGTAGAAACCCATGATCGTGTAGCAGGACAGGTGTAGTGGAACGGTATTTGTACTTCTGGTCTTTTTGCCTCAGTTTCCTTCCTCCATCCCCTTTTTCCCTCCTCCTCCTTCTCCTCTGCCTCCTCCTTTTTCTCCTTCACCATCTCCTTCTGCTACTACTGCTACTACTACTGCTAGACTTACGTAAACACATGTACACACACACACAGACACGCACCCCTTCCATCACATTCCGGAGAGGAAACTGCTTTGAGTCTGTCTTCTCATTTGTAAAATGATAGGAAGAGAGGGGATTGTCTCCAAAATCATTTCCATTTATAAGTAATGGTTACATACATAATTCTGATTTTCAGATAATTTATTCCTATATCCTATTTGACACTTTCTCTTTGATTGTCCTAATATGCTATATTTTATCTCTAAAAGCAACTCATCTCTGTTCTAAAAGCACATAGAGGGAAGGGTTTTCTTCAGCTCGCTCCTCATTGGTCCCCATCACCAGATGCCATGATAGTTGGCTGGAAGACCATAGAGATCTAACAGCTGTTAGTGCTTGAGGCTCAGAGAAATCAGTCTCTGAAGAAAATATACCTCCTCAACCTCCACGACACCCCAACACTAATGAAAGAGAGAGCTCTCTCTCCATATACACTTTTGGAAGCCACTGATGAGGGCTTTTGCCTTGTGGGTTGTGATTAGGGTTGCCAAATAAAAATACAGGATGTTCAGTGAAATTTGAATTTCAGATAAGCAACAATAGTTTGTTAGTATGAGTATATCCCATAAATTGCAGATATTGCCAATTTGAATGGGGGCATACTTATACTAAAAACTAACTCGTTTTTATCTGAAATTCAAATTTCATTTGCTAAATCTGCCAACCCTAGTTGGAATCGATTCCTGCTATTCTTTATTTCCCCCTTACCACCCCAGACTCAGGAACAGAGAAAATATATGACCTCAGCCAGACTTTGGCCAAAGAAAGTCCTAAAACTTCTAAATATTTTGAAGCATCTGAAAGAAATCATGAGGAAATATTTCTCATTTCCTTGTGGTCATGACAGTCTGAAACAAGAATTAATGTCTGGTTCTAAATTCAGAAATAAAGCAGTTCTTTTTTTTTTCTTGTTTGTATTTTTTTTCCTTCACAAAGGTATCACATATATATATTTTTTAAATTTAAAGCAAGTATTATAATCAACCAGATGTAGCACAAGGGAGGCCAAGTGAGATGGCTGCAGTTTCTTGGACACTCTAATATTGAGAGTGAGTTGCCTTGGTTTAAGGATATAAATAGTTCCACCTGGAGATCAATACCCACACTAAAGAAAAAAACACATAGACATTAGGTTTCATGTCCCAGTTGCATGTGAACTCCACTGGAGTTCATTACTGTGTGTCTCCTCATTTCTGAGTGTTGTAATGAAGTGATTGCTGGACTGGGAGGCCAAAGGTCAGATCTCAGAGTGTGGGATAACATGAAGATAAAGCCAGCGCAGTCTTGGCAGTCTTCCTCCAGGTTCACCCACCATATCTTCATGCTTTTATCTTTCTAACTTCAGCTTGTCCTTGGACACCTCAACACTTTGAACAAGAATAAACTGGGTGAAAAATGTTGCTGTGAGCACTCTAGGATAAAGTGGGCAGGATATTTACATAGAAAGACTTGAATTTCTTTAATTAATAATTATTGGTAATAAGTTTACATTGTTCTAAAATCTTCATAACATTCCCGGAGACAGGATTTTATAGATACATAAAATTGAGTCTTAAAGACCTTCATTAACTTACTTGAGGTCATACTACCAGTTTAAACATAGGCCAGTTTAACGCCAAAATCTATTTTCTTCCCCTCTACCATACCATATTGCTCTTTATTTCTGAGAGTTGCAAGCAGGTGTTTTGTAGGTCAAATCCCGTCCATGAACTAATCTGACATTAGGCAATATTGTTTCACCAGTATCACTTTTTTTAACCCTTGAATTTGAATGTCTTTAGGCTGGACATACACTTCCCACTTTGTCAACAGTCATCACCACTCTCCACAGTGTTACACTTTCCGCTAATCACATATTTATGTTACCTCTCTGGCTGCCACAGGCATTCGAGCTTGCAATTCCAGGTTTGGTGTCTGAAAAGTGTTTTTACCAATACCGTTTGATACTCAGAATGACTGTATAGGAGAAATTGTAGATTTTATAAAGATTGATGAAGAAATGTGCTCAGTAGTGCAAGATGTTTTTCCAGAGGAGTCCCCCACCAATAATGAGCAGAACCAGTGCCCTTTTCAATGCCTCGAGATCAACATCCTACACTGAACATTCTTAGCGACCCATAGTCTGGGTGAGGGTCATTACACTCTCAGGGATTTGAATTAGAACACAGGAAAAGCTAAAGACAGTGGGAGAAGAACTTGGAATTAGAAAAGACCCAGTTCAAGGATAATTTGTATTTTACTTTTATGTTCAGCGTAGTATGAACTCTGGTTCTGCCAAACGTCCAGTTTGCCTCATTCACAAACGTTGCTGATCCATTGCAGGAGAAAATTATAGAGAAATGTACTTCAATTGTGTGCCCTAAATAAACTCCATGGGGCCCCATGTACATGAAGGAATGGCAATAACTAGGAGTGGTAGTTGTTTCCCTTTCAGTCATTCTTCTTTTGAATAGGATTCATTGTACCAACCATTTAACATATTTATATGTTCCTGGTACTAATGGGGTTGTCTATTTTAGCCTTTATTGACAAGGAAGAAATGGCAGGCAGGCAGGTGTCCAAAGCACTAATCTATGAAAGGACAATTTCCTCTGTGTTTGCAACAGGTGGAATGCTTCAGCCGATAGAACTCTATTCTTTATTATGTTTCCTAAACAGAGCACAGTTTAATCCTCAAATTTGCCAAGGAGGTCCATTCGCACACCTCTTGTTTACATTATTTCCTCTGACCATTCCAGTCAGAAACCATGAAATCAGTCACCTCATTTGTTTTTTGTTTGACATTTAAGTAGCATATCTTACGTGCCAGAGACACTTTTAAAGGAATAGATCATTTAAACCTTGTGTTAGCTGTATGAAGTAGGGACCACTATTATCCCCATTTTACAGATAACGAAACTGTGGCACAGAGTGGTTAAGAAACCTTCCCAAGTCACACAGCAAGTATGTGGAAGAGCTGATCCTCTTGACTGCTTTGCTATGTGTTTTTATCTTGGTCATGTGCTGCCATAACATCCTTATCCTGGCTATCCCATTGTTAATTCTTCTGATTACCGGGGAACATATTTTCCTACTATTCCCTTTACACATTTTCCTTACCGTTCTTGTCCTGAGTTGACATTGATAAATCAGCCAGGTTTTATAAGTGTTGGGAAAGCTCGTCATGGTGTTCTGATTATAACTGCATGCGTGCCCTGCAGACCAGCTTTCATCCATCACTGATGCATGAAATAGAGCACCTTTAATACAGCACCTGAGACCCCAAAAAGTTAGGCCAAGTTGGTGCAAGAACACAAAGAACCATGGACTTGCTAATTTTCAACAGATGACCAACTGCCACCTGAACTTCTGAATGGATTTTTCTCTGCGCCCACTTGATATGCTCTACTTCAGTGGGAGGAGGGCAGTGACAAGAAGTCAAGAAGACTTGAATTCCTGCCAACTGAGAGACGGCTGAAGGAAATGGGAACATTTATCTTGCAGAAGAGAAATATGGAGGCCTCAAGGACTGGCATCAGACAGCTGACTCGCTGCTATGTGCAAGAAGTGGGCTTATCTTAAGTTGTCCAGAGTGCAGTAGAAAATGGAAACTCTGGGCAATCAGATTTCAGCTCAATGTAAGTGATTTCTCTTTTTTGTTGTTTTGTAAATTTTTGAGAAAATGGTTTTAAGTGATAAAAATAGCAACATACTGTTTCTTTCTTTTAAAAAAAAAAATCAAACAATAACAAAATGTCTAAGGTGGAGAGTAAAAGCCTCTTTTCCTTTACTCACTCCCAATCCCTAGGAATACCCTTGATATCTATCCTCCCATGTCCCTATCTATGCACATGCAAACGTGCTATCCATACATACACATATGCCTACTACGTGTCCATAGAATTTTCCTCTATTTTTGTTTGCTTTCAAATATATGGCCATAAAATGGGTATATCTCAGAATGCAATGAACAAGAAAGGCCCTTTAAGAGTAAATTTCTGTGATTTCCAAATGTTATTTTATAGAGATGCCCTGCTGAAGGATCTGAAATATATAACTTTAGTTATTGACTGTAAATATTCAAGGTGTTCCACAGTTTTAGTTAATCTGACTTTTTTTATTAAAAAAAGTTTACCAGATACCTACAAAATGGAAGTAGGCATTTTGTACTGATACTTATTTTTAAGAGAAAGGATATCCAAACAATTTAAGCTATTTAAAAATGGGTGAGCTGCTTAGACGTTTTAGCCACTGGCTATGTTCAAACAGAGGTTGGTTGACCAGTTGGTTACAACGTTATAGAGGTGATTAATGCCACAGATGGGAAGGTGGGGAGAGTTGGACTGGGTGCTTTCCAAGATTCATTCAGTGCTCTGATTCCCCGACTTCCTGCGCTCTGCTCACCTGGGCAGTGAAAGATCGCAGGTGGTGCCCTGTGAAGAGGAGCAGCCAAATGGCTCCTGCTCCCCATGGCAGGAACCGCAGGTGCACACACAGTGGCTGGGTCCAGGGCCACTCACTGATGCATGGCTGGTGGACAGAAGCGCCTGCAGGCAGCAATTCTTGTTCCAGCTGCTCTCTGGACATTCGGGGCTTTCAACTTTGGTACCTGGATTTAAAAGAAAACAAATTCCTTTTTAAACAGTGCAGGTTTGAAATTGAAGCAAATACTGTACATTCTTATAAGCCTGGCAGTGCAGGAAATTACTCCTTCACCTGTTTCCTATTTTGACATTTCATTAAGATGGAATTTAGTGGCTAGAAAAAATAATATTAAAATATTTGACCTTAAAAAAAAAAACAAAAACACTGGTTAGAGTCTTCAATGTTTAGAACTCCCTCTGCTTGTGCTTCTTCTCCTTTTGAAAAAAAAAATATATATAACTCCCAGAAAAGCTGTGAAAAGAATACATCAAACACTTGCATCCTCTCACCTACATTCACTAGTTATTGACATTTTGCTATATTTGCTTTCTCTATATGTACATTTATTATTATTGTTGTTGTTAGGAACTATTTGAGATAAGTTGCAGATATCATGACCCTTCCCACCTGAACATATCAGCAAGTGTTTCCTAAGAACAAAGACAGAGTGCAATGATCAAATTTAGGAAATTTAACACAGATATGAATCTCTTACTGAATACGATCATATCCAAGTTTTGCCAGTCTTTCTGATATTGGGGTTTATAACATGTTTTCCCAACCCAGGACTTTGTATTTCTACTTAGTTGTCATGCTTCTTTTTTTTTTTTTTTCTTTGAGATGGAGTCTCGCTCTGTCACCCAGTCTGGAGTGCAGTGGCACAATCTCAGCTTGCTGCAACCTCCGCCTCCCGGGTTCACCCCATTCTCCTGCCTCAGCCTCCCAAGTAGCTGGGACTACAGGCGCCCGCCACCACGCCCGGCTAAATTTTTGTATTTTTAGTAGAGACGGGGTTTCGCCATGTTAGCCAGGATGGTCTCGATCTTCTGACCTCGTGATCCGCCCACATCGGTCTCCCAAAGTGCTGGGATTACAGGCGTGAGCCACCGCACCCAACCAGTTGTCATGCTTCTTTAGTCTCTTTTATTTGAGAATGAAAAGGCTCCCAATTTTTGTCTTTTAAGACATTGGCATTTTTGAAGAGTGCAGGCCTATTGTTCTCCAACATGTCTCTGGAATTTGTCTGGTGTGAGATTCAAATTATGCACACACTGTGTCCTTCTCAGTGCGTCATATTAGGGGGCACCTGATGTCAGTTTGCCCCATTGGTGGTGAAGGTAAATGTTGATCATGTGGTCAAAGTAGTATCTGTGTGAGTGTTCCACTTCTGGGGAATCTCTCCCTCTTTGTAATAAATAATCTATAGGGAGGTACTGGTGGTGTTACCCAGATTTCTTCACTCTAAAACATTTTTCCTTTGTGGTAATCATCTTCAGGAGGATAATTTTAGACTGGGTAAATAGCTTGTTTACAAACAAACTTGTTTTAGCATCCATCAATGGCCCTTGCCTGAATCAATTACAATATTGTTATAGTGGATCAATGCTTTTGGAAATGAGAATATTGTCATATCAATGTTTCCTCGCTGCACTCCCCACCCCAACACATTATCTCCCCTAACACCAAAAGGGATTCCCCAGCCAAACCATCTGGGCCAATATATGCCAGCTATGACTAAAGATCCCTGAGAGCACCTCCTCCCCTCCATCCCCAAGTCTGAGATGTGCTTGGGGCATAAAGCAGCTATGGAGCAGCAAAGAGAGCCCTAGACTGAGAATCAGAGAGCTGACAACCTGCATCTCCACTTGGAGGTTCCATGGGTTGCTCTAAGTGAGCATGTCCTAAACTGAACTTCCTGGCTCCTACCAACCTGTGCCTCCACCAGAGTTCTAATTTCAGTGAATTCACTGCCATTTACTCAGACGCCCCAGCCAAAAATCTGAGCAGCATTCTCTTACTCCTTCCTCTTCCCCATTCTCCACATCTAATAAACAACTTAAATCCTGTGTGATGAGACTTTCCAAACATCTCCAAGAATTTGTCCCCCTTTCTCCATCTCTATCACCACCGCCTGGTCTAGGCTACCTTCACCTCTCACTCGGTCTTCTGCAGTAGCCTTCTGCCTCTCCTCCTGCCTCTAAGGTTTTCTGTGCTGCAATCCATTCTTCTCACTTCAGCCAGAGTGACCTTTCTGAAGTATAAATCTGATCATGTCTTCCCAAACCCAACTCCCATTAAACCCTTTGGTACCTCTCCATCGCTTTAAGGACCATTGGTTAAAGTGGTAAGTTTAAACTCTCTAACATGGTATACAAGGTCCCTACAACACAGAGTTGAAAGTCTTCACCTGATAAATTTTCCATCATGGCACCTCTTTCTTGCCTCATTTCTGGCCAGACAGATCAAGATGGGCACAAGCTGACATATGTCTGGAATGTGTTTTTGAAAAAACACGTGCAACTTTGCATTGTAGGCATATGAGGTAATCATCTCTTAGGAAATCATGGAAACATTCTTGACTTGGTCATTTCCAGAACTCCAACTGGAGAAAGCTGCCCCCAAGCTGTGGATCCTCTTCTTAATTGAAAGCGAAGTACCTCAAACAGTTTGTTCTTCAGGACAGGTGAAGCCCTTGAAAAAGATAAGCAACCATGGGATGCACCATGATCTCACAACAGGCTTGAGTAAGAATGGCTACCACATTTATTACATCTTTTTTTTTTATTTTTTTTTTTGAGACAAAGTCTTGCTCTGTTGCCCAGGCTGGATTGTAATGGCACAATCTCAGCTCACTACAACCTCCACCTCTCGGGTTCAAGCGATTCTCCTGCCTCAGACTCCCGAGTAGCTGGGATTACAGGCGCCTGCCACCATGCCGAGCTAATTTTTGTATTTTTAGTAGAGACAGGGTTTCACCATGCTGGCCAGGCTGGTCTTGAACTCCTGACCTCATGTGATCCACCTGCCCCAGCCCCCCAAAGAGCTGGGATTACAGGCGTGAACCACTGCGCCCAGCTCACATTTATTATATCTTGAGAGAAAAGATACTGCAAACACATTGGATATATTTGTCTATTCTTTTTTTTTGAGACAGAGTTTCACTCTTTTGCCCAGGCTACTAGAGTGAAGAGGCTCAATTTGGGCTCACTGCAACCTCCGCCCACCAGGTTTGAGTGATTCTCCTGCCTCAGCCTCCCAAGTAGCTGGGATTATAAGTGACTGCCACCATGCCTGGCCAATTTTTGTATTTTTAGTAGAGTCGGGGTTTCACAATGTTGGCCAGGCTGGTCTTGAGCTCCTGACCTCAGGTGATCCACCCGCCTTGGCCTCCTGAAGTGCTGGGATTGCAGGCGTGAGCCACTGTGCCCGGCCTATTTGTTTACTCTTTCTGACTAGCATGTGCATCCCAAATCTCAGAGCAAGCACAGTCCTCTATTTTTATGCCGTATTTGTGGTTTCGGGACAAACATGCAGAGAAATATGAAGTCTTGGCTACTTTTTCTCTCCAAAAAGTCAGACTACATTTTACTTATTCTCTCCTTAGTCCAGAACTCTTCATCCATTGAAGGAACTTTTAAAAATCTATAAGGCAGGGAATTTATATTTCTTATAAATATTTAAAAATCCTCAAGAATATTGAGAGCCAGGCAGAATAATAAAGTATGATTAATAGCGACCTCTTACTGAGTATTTACTGTGTCCCAGGTACTATGTTAAGTGTTTTCTTTGTATTTAACTCATACAATAAGCTTTAAAGTTAATTATTTTGGCCGGGCGCGGTGGCTCAAGCCTGTAATCCCAGCACTTTGGGAGGCCGAGACGGGCGGATCACGAGGTCAGGAGATCGAGACCATCCTGGCTGACACGGTGAAACCCCGTCTCTACTTTAAAAAATACAAAAAACTAGCCGGGCGAGGTGCTGGCGCCTGTAGTCCCAGCTACTCGGGAGGCTGAGGCAGGAGAATGGGGTGAACCCGGGAGGCGGAGCTTGCAGTGAGCTGAGATCCGGCCACCGCACTCCAGCCTGGGCGGCAGAGCGAGACTCCGTCTCAAAAAAAAAAAAAGTTATTTTGTTCCCATTTTGCAAATGAGAAAACTGAGGCCCAGAGCTCTTCAGTGACTTGATTAAGATCACAAATTTGGATTTTTAAAATTAATTTTTTTTGGTAGTGATGGAATCTCACTGTATTGCTTAGACTGCTCTTGAACCCCTAGGCTCAAGGAGTCCTCCTATCTTAGCCTCCCAAAGTGCTGGAATCACAGGCTTGAGTTACCGTGCCTGGCCCAAAAAATTAGGAATTAAAAGCAGGACTATCAGATGTCAAAGACCATGTTCCTACTCAGTGTGTTGTATGTCTTGGCAAGCTCTCATCTTTCTCCTAGAAGCCCACCTCCTTCATTTTAGGACTTTCCTTCCTTCCTTCCTTCCTTCCTTCCTTCCTTCCTTCCTTCCTTCCTTCCTTCCTTCCTTCTTTCCCTCCTTCCTTCTGCACATTTACATTTCTAGGTGTGACTTCAGAAGCCATCTACCACACTCTATTTTTGCTTTTTCTTTTCCTTTTTCTTTTTCTTTTTTCTTTTCTTTTCTTTTTTTTTTTTTTTTTTTTTTTGACAGAATCTCTCTCTGTCTCCCAGGCACCATCTCTGCTCACTGCAAACTCCACCTCTCGTGTTCTAGCCATTCTTCTGCTTTAGCCTCCCGAGTAGCTGGGATTACAGGTGCCTGATATCACGACTGTCTAATTTTTGTATTTTTAGTAGAGATGGGGTTTCACCATGTTGGCCAGGCTGGTCTGGATCTCCTGACCTCAGGTGATCCACCCACTTTGGCCTCCCAAAGTGCTAGGATTACAGGAATGAGCCACTGTGCCCGGCCTACCCCACTCTAGATCCTAATTGTCCCACTGTTTTCTAGATTTTACCTTCTATTCCCAATCAAAAGTGGCCTATCCTGTGCCTCATTCTTTTAGGACTGCTGTTTCATGCTATAATACCTTTAGTGTCTGGTAGTCAGGTATTCAATAAATACTTATTGAACATCACTGTGTGAGACCAATGTGATTCCTATTCACATGGGGCTTAGCAAATTCTTGTTGGATAAATGAATGAATCCTGGAATAATCGAATGAGCAAACAAATACTAATATACAATCAGTGACAATAGAGGAAGTTTTGAGAAGACAAAACATGAGTTCTGGAATAAGAAAGTTGGATTTGGATTCTGGCACTACCATTTGGGTTGTACTTAGTACTATTCACCAAATATTTCTGGCTGTGGTCATTTCAGGCATTTGGTAGTACTATATCTTGCACTGCTTAGTGTTTTCAGATTTCCAAGAGGCATAGATCTTTGGGATTGGGGAACAAGTCAGGATTTTTAGTTCTCAGGAATCCTGAAATCATAAATTATTCTTTGTTTTTCATGATCTTTTTTATACATGTATTTATATAATAATTAGCAGCCATTATAGTGAATACTAAGTCATCTTTCTGTGATAGGGTTATGCTATCGGAAGTTTTCTATTAGAAATGACATAATAATAAATGCATGGCTTATTATTACTGTGAATTGATTTATTGCAACAAGAATATATGTTTCAATAACATGTAAAAATAATCTTCTTTATATAGACATCTGATACTAGAAAATATTAAAAGATGGAGACAATAACATAAGATAAATAGCAAGTAAAAATTATTACTAAAATGAAATATATTACCGTAAATATTTCTATATGTTATCATTATTAAAATGAAAATGTAGAACACACAATTATTTGTCTAGCCAATTTCCTGTC